AACACATTCTCTCATCGTTTCACACATTACTCCCAATTCTGCTTCACCCCTAACACATCCATGCGATTGGCAATATTTGTCCATTCCTCTCTTTGTTCTTCATACGTGCGAAGTTGTCCCGCGGCGGCCAAGGCCTCATCTTGATCCCGCTTACAGCGGACAAGTGTGAGGGAGTCATCCAAATTCCATATTATGGTCCCCCCCTCCGCTTGGGGCCTTGCCTTTACCTCGCCCCAGGATTGGATCCACTTTTCTTCGCAGGTGTCTTCTTTCGGTCGGTAGAAGCCTGAGGAACTTCGTCCTCCTTCTCATCTTCGTTTTCTTCCTCATCTGAGTCCTCTAATTCATATGCATCATCGCACTGTCCATCCTCAACCCAACCTTCTCCACCGCCACCGCCGTCGCTTGTCGCACGCATTGTGGAGACATGTGCGATGATGTGTTCCACCACATCCGCCTCTCAGCTCTCCCCACGTCCCCCCACCGTTACAGTGGTCCCCCGACCCTCTTGCAACTGCCCTGCCCACTCTGTTGCTTACAGGATACCCCGCCTGCTGCACCCCGGTGGTGGTCGATCGCCCTCCCTCGCAGCCAACAGATGGCTCCCCTTGAGATCGGGTGAGAGGATTAACCAGCAACATTCTTGATGCGGTCGCTTCACCCCCAGATGATAGCTGCAGGCCGAGAGGCAGTCCCATGTTGTCCACGCATCAGGAATCAGGATAGATGTCATTGGTGCCTGCCGCTGACGAAGCTTTGCCCGTTCCATTCCCGTGTCGGAGATGGACTACGTCGATCCATACACCAGAGGGACGACAGACGATGGTGGTTCCCAGGACTCGTCATCTGGCAGTGGTTGTTGCCACCACGGCAAGTGCGCGTACAGTCCCCGGTCGAAACGGGACATGCCCGACGGCCGCCGGCCCTTACCCTTGCCCCGCACTGCTACGTTTCAATTTCCCAAACTGTCACCTGACTTCGTTGACGACGGACTCCCGTAGCGGGGCAACGGTCGAATATGCCCCTGGCTATGAATCCCCCGCGGTCATGACCGCGGGGTCAATCTCAGCCCGCGGTCGGGCTCCCGATAGCCGAGGTCGGCTGCGGGCGAGGGCCTCGGTCAGAAAACCCCGACATTTTTAATTCCTAGGATAATAGGCCAAAAACAAAACAAAAAATATGGGGTTGTAGGTTTTTTTGCGCTCTACAACTGTATATCTTTAGTTTTGTTTTTGACTTCGTTTTGGAGCTTTAAAAAATAAAAAACAGAAATCCCTCATGCAAAAGTTTTTCACTTTATTCTTTTAGTAAGAAAAATAAAGGATTTTGTTTGTTTTTTATCTCAAATTTGGTAACAAGTTTTGATATGACCCCAAGGCAAAAGTTGTTCAATTTATGTTTTGGCATAACATATAGTTTTTTCAGATTTTTCTGATTTGTTTTTTTTTTTTTTTTTTTTTTCCTTGACCGTGGACCGCGGTCATGACCGCGGGCTCGCGGTCGTAACCGCAGTCCGCGGTCATGCCCGCGGTGACCGCGGCCACGGGGGATTCATAGGCCCGTGTTACCGCTGCTGGGACAACCACATCGAATGACTGTGGTACCGCAGCTTCTATCGGTCACCACCAACGGACTGTATGATGATGTCCACGAGGCCACCAACAAAAAACAGCCCAGATCCAGGAACAGACGAGGTGACTTGAATTCAAGGGCGATTTTGGCTGTTTAGCCCTTGAGTTTCGAGGGCGCACCCTCCGATGCAAAAAAGTTAAAGGGATAGCTATGAGGATTGTTTGTTTTGTTGGTATGAGTTGTGGGGCGAAGGCTCCCAAATTAACCCTTGGGCTTGGGCCCAGTGGGTAGTCTCTGTGTTTTTGTTTGGATTGAAAGTATGATAGAGGGAGTATTTTTATGACTATACTTTTTCTCTGAGGATTGTTTGTTTTATTGGTACGAGTTGTGGGGCGAAGGCTCCCATATTAACCCGTGGGCTTGGGCCCAGTGGGTAGTCTCTATGTTTTTGTTTGGATTGAAAGTTCGATAGAGGGAGTATTTTTATGACTTTTTTTTTTTCTTCTTTTTTTTTGGGAAAAAGCGAGAACTCCATTCCAAACCAAAATGAGGCCGGAAATCCTCACAAACGACCCGGGACGACTCAAACAAGGACCACTGGCGAACCCAGCGAATGTTCTATAAGCGATCACCTCAACGACTCAAGCTAAACCAAACATACAAAAAAAAAACAAGCCCCATGCAAGCATTATGTTCTGTTTTCCTTAATTAAACACATAACTCTTCCCCAGTCAGCAAGCAAACCAATGTGAGTCATGGCTTCGCTACTCCATTGTGTATCCTCATTCGGCATGACCCTACTCTACCTACTCTAATCCCACCCTCATTCTACTAGTGTTACCCTATTCTATCCCCGCACCCCTACCCCCTACCTCACTCCTCCCTTTCTCTCCCCTCCACCCGCCTACCCGACGGTTGGCACCTAGAGCGGTTCCCCCTAATTCTAGACACTCTTTGGCCCCGAGGTTGTCCCTGTTGCCTCCTACTGTGGATAATTACCGAGTGTCCTGGTACAATCAACTAACTAACCAATCCCCGAATGTGATCTCCCCCTTACCCAAAACCGTCACAAGTTTTCCCCCCTTAGCCCAGGTATCCTGAAACCATCCCTGTTGTTCTGCCTCTACCCCGAGGGACCTTCCTCCTCCAATCTGCTGCAATTACTCTTCGAAGCATATTCGTGAACGTCGCCTTGATCTCGGGATCCGGTATAATCCTGCTGTCAAATTAGGCCTTGTTCCTTTCTGGCCAAATGATCCAGAAGCCTTCTGCTCTGATTGCATGTGCCACATATCCCCATCCCCTCTTCTGTTGACAATTGTCAGGTACACCTCCCAACAGGACCCAAAGCCTATCCCATTTGAACGCCCCTACAGTCCATTCATCCCACTGTCTGGCCCACTACTCCCAAGTTCTTCGTGAGGCTGGGCAATCTCACCAAACGTGGGTTGTCGACTCAAACGACCACATACATCTCTTACATTGGGTTTCCACCTTCATACCTCGGCTAATTAGCCAGACTGCCACACAAGCGGTTATCGAGTAGCTGAAAATTCAGGAATGAAAATTATGAAGTGAGAGTTTTTGGTAGTCTAAAAATCTTGAATGGTCCTGAAGTGGTGAAAGGTCCGAAGACCCTGAAAACCACATGTTTAGGCAGGCTGCATCCTGAAGTGGTGAAGGGTGTCCTGAAGTGGTCAAGTGAGAGTTTTAGGTAGTCTGAAAATCCTGAATGGTCCTAAAGTGGTGAAAGGTTCGAAGACCATGAAAACCACCCTTCACCACTTGAGGATGCAGCCTGCGTAACAGGTGGTTTTGAGGGTCTTCGGGGTTTTCACCACTTCAGGACCATTCAGGATTTTCAGACCTGAATGGTCCTGAAGTGGTGAAAGGTCCGAAGACCCTGAAAACCACCTGTTTAGGCAGGCTGCATCTTGAAGTGGTGAAGTTTGTCCTGAAGTGGTGATGAAAAATACGACTGTTGTTAACCTTCTCTTGACTGCCGATGGAGTTGCCAGTAGAGATGCCAGCCACAACAGGCCTGCTGCCTGTGGGTTTGGGCAATCTGCCAACTGTTCCTAACACCTTTGTATTGCCCTGTTAATCGTCACTATGTCTTCCGACAGCACTACCCCATCTCTCTATAGCCGCCATTAGGGGTATTCGGACTGGGGCTTGCACCTCATACGCTAATTGCAACGAGTATTCATCTAGTCGTGCATGCTCCCCTTTGTCTCCCCTCCCTCTCCAGGCCCACTGATTTGGATCAACTTTCAGGTATGGGAGAACTTTCCCTTGGTTCCATAGGACGACCTACCATTCTCCTTCTTCATCAATCCTCTCTCTCACCCTGACCTCCAAGAGTTGTCCCTTCGGGATAGTGACGAACTCCTCCTCGTCCACTTTAAGCTGCAGGGGACCTTCAGGTTCTACTTGAGACCACTGTTGGAATTTCCTCCTTATCCCTTCTTTGAGTTCCACTTACTTAAGGAATTTGCAAGGGTTGGAATTTGTGACCATCTCATACCAGGTTCTAAGTGGATTTACAAATGATGGTTCCAGGATTCTCAGCCACTCCTCCGGGATTGCCTGCAGGATTTGGTCTCTCCGCTGTATAATAAACTTGCAGGGTTTTAGTTTCCTCTCCATTTCCCCTCTCGTATGCCATGTTCCTGTGATCTCGTCCCAAAGATCTGTTAGTCTCACCACGCCATGTTCCACCCATGATCTGCAAAAGCAACCGGGGGCTTGAGATGCAATGAACATAGCCATTGCTCGGTCTCTGATTTGAGGATTCTCGAATATGATCTGAGAGAGGGCCTCCTCCTTGGTCTTTGGCTCCACCATCAAATCTGGTTTCACTTTCCGCCATGCTTGTAAGACAGCAGTCCAGAAGTCAGAGTTTATCTTCCTTCTGAGATAGGATCCTATCCACACACGGGCCCACACATCGAACGGACGGGACAGATTCCATTCCCTACCCAGAATCCTCTCTCCCAGCGCGATCCAATGCTTGTCCTGATCCGTGCAAATAGCACGAACTACCCATCTGGCCAGCATCACCACGTTCCTTCTATACGGGTCCACAAGGCCCAACCCATCTTCTTGTCTGGGAGCACAGATCAGGTCCGAGGCAACCTTGGACATTACTCCCTCACTCTCCCTTGCGAAGGGTTTCTAGATAAATCTGGTTGCCTTTCTTTTAACGATGGCCGGAGTCTTCTTACCAATAAGCCGAACGTTACCTACATACATCAAGAGTGCGAACAGGGCCACATTAACCACTAATGCTCGCCCGATCAGAGAGAGGTGCGGGGCCCTTCCCCATGTGGTCATTCTTTGCATCACTTTGTTCTGCAAAATCTCGTCTTGTTGCAGCGTGCATGACGAGAGGGTCACTTGGACTCCCAGAAACCTTTCTGACTTCGTGTATTGTATACGCTTCATTCCCCATTCCACACGCGGCTTATACCTCTGCGGGAGGAAGTATCCCGACTTCGACCAGCTGATCGCTGAGAGTTCTTTATACTGTCTCAGACAGTATCGCAGTGCCGACATTGACTCCACGGTATTAGCCGAGATTGCAAAGAGATCGTCTGCCAAAGCTTTCACCTTGCATGCACGCGAGTCAGTCTCCAGTCCCACCACTTGCATGTGCTCTCATATGTTATTCAACGGCACTTCAAGATGCACCACAAACAGCAGTGGGGCCAATGGACAGCCCTGACGAAGCGACCGAGAGAGATTAAATGGAGCTGAAATATGGTCATTGACCATGACCGATGCGGAAGACAGCGAGTACAACGCTATTACCCAATTGCAGAACACATCTCCGACGTTCATCCATCGCAACGTTGTCAGGACATATGACCAATTTACTCGGACATATGCCTTCTCCATATCCAACAGCAAACGACAACGTCCAAATCTTCCCTACTCGCCACTTCCAAGGCCTCCACAAAAGTTACGATGTTTTCGTATATTGAGCGTTCTTTCACAAATGCGGCCTGGTCATCCTCCACCAACCTTGGTAAATATCTCCCTAGCCAACGGGCCATTACTTTAGCCAAGATCTTATAGGAGACATTTTACAGGGAGATCGGGCGCCATTCCTAATCTCGTTGGTGTCTCCTTCTTTGTACAAGATCGAGATAATCCCTTTGCACGCACTAGCTGGTAGCTGCCCTCCCATCTGGATCTCATTATATATTGCCACAAGATCGTCTCCCAGAATGCTCCACTGTTGTCGGTAGAATTCTACTGGAAGGCCGTCATTCCCCGGGGTCTTCCCAGACGCCATATCCTTTAGAGCTTCGCCCGCTTCTTCTGCCGTGACTGGTCGGTCCAAGTCTAGCCGTCCTTGGATAGGAAGCCTCACCTGCACATTGTTCCAGTGGGTAGATTCAACTACTAAGTCTGTATCCGCCCGTTCCCCTGATCTTCTGCTCGTGAAGATGTCACGGTAATATGCCACTGCATATCTGCAAATTTCGTGTGGTTCTGCTGCCACGGGTTCTTCCGGCTCAAGCGGATGTTTGAGCTCCTTCACTGTCGGGGCAGTCCTGGCTAAAGTTAACTTCTGAAAAGATTCCTTCGACATCCTTTCATACACTACGATCCCCCTGGCTTTTAATCTCTTTGCCCACTGTTCCGATTTCTTCAGCTGTATGGCATCCCAATCTGCCAGACGTCGCTTCCTTTGTTTGCTCTACGTTAACGCTGAGATAGGGTGCACCTTCATCTTCTCTTCTGCCTCCTGCACTCTCTTCCATTACTTTCTTTCTGCCTTGTTCCGCTCGAGGGCCAGAATTCTGGAGAAGGCACTTAGAAGCTTAGAGACTATTCGGGATCCCACCTCCCACCATTCTGCTAACGACGGGAATTTTTCCTGCTGATTTTTTCATCTCTTCCATAACTCCTGAGTCCAGTGGTTCAATGCTTCGTTCTTCAAGTTCGGCGTGTTTAATTTAAAATATTCCCGCCCCCTTTTCTGGTCCTGGCCTAGCTTAAATACCCCCACTACCGGTTCGTGATCCGAAATCGGGGAATCCACCTCCGAGATTTGGATTACTGCATCCTTCACCTTACCCGACGTCAGTAGAAAGTCTAATCTCTTACCTCGGCCCTTATGGGAAAACCACATAAAGCCACAGTCTACGTGGTGGAGGTCTCTGTATGAATCGTGAAAGTCTAAGTCCACCATCAGGTCCACAAGAGTGAGGACGTCTTTCGGACAGTTGTCGTACAGTTGAGTATCCGCCGTATACAAGGTAGAGTTCCAATCTCCCCCAATTACAACATTGTCCACGTCCGGAAGCACCACCCTCAATTCCTCAAAAAAGGCTACTCGTTCCTTCCTACTAATCGGGGCATAGATTGGGACTACTGCCCAGGTAAGATCCTCCTGTCCGAATACAATCCAAGCCCAGTGGCCCCACAAATCCGCGTAATAATCAATAATGTCTGGTCCTAGATTCCTATGCACTAAAATCCCCACTCCGCCCCTCGTCCCCATGGCCGCCGACCAAATCTGGGGGCCATCCCACCATCTCCCTAACTTCTCGATCTTCTCCAAATTTAACTTCGATTCTTGGACACAAATTACTGATATCCTGTTGTCATGAAGCCACGACTTCACTCTTGCCTTTTTACTCCCCATCGTATCTCCCAATCCCTGTAGATTCCAAGTTGCAATTCGTAAATTAGTCATTCAGGCTTCGAGCAGCCTGCTGCGATTGGATATGGGTTGTGTTTGCCCCTCTTACCAACCAATCTTGAGTAAGAGTTGTTCGCACATAGGCTGAGTCTAGTTTCTTGTCTTTCGGCAGGCGAATCCTCAGTTCCGACAGAGCATCTGTTGAGACCATCAATGGAGAGATCATAAGATGCGCTAGCTCCTGTTTCTTGGCTTCTGCGAAGAGAGCTAGCGGAATCAGCCGAAGTCCAATCGCCTCCAGCTCCACTAGCTTGTATTCAACAATTTTGCATCGATAATTGGCACATAAAACATAATCTTATTCCTTGCCGGCCCAAACAGGATTCTTGGCATCGTGAATTATGGAATAAGCCTTGTTGGGAACGCATCCAGATACAGTGTCTTCAAACAGTCTTCTTTGACGGCTGTTGTTGGCAACTCCGGCACGATCTGACCGACGGGAATGAATGGTCCCGCTTCTCTTTGCCAGACGATTACCCTATACGCGTTTCGCACCATCGTACAAAGCAACGACACCAAGTATTGTGCCATCTCAGATCCCGCACTCTTAGTGGTTGACGCAAGTCTTCTGTCTCGTGTTGTTTTGTTTCCAGGGGTTACCATCCCGACTTCGTGACTGATAGATTTCCCTGATCCTTCCCTTGAGTGCCTCGAGCTTCCCGAGGGTTCCGATATGAGCTCTTGCATTGAGGCCATGCTCAGTCTTCTTTGCTTGCCCGCTCCTCGGTTCCTCGATCGGCCTGGTATATTTTCTGCTTCTTGATCTCTTCGTTCGCTCCCACCTGCTCCACCCACAATACGTTCACCTCCTTGCTGGCTTGGTCCTTGCGCCTCCTCTCCCGCCGTTGGTACCCTGGACGCACTTGGATTGACGGGCCTTGGTCCCTGCGATCCTGCCTGCTGTCCTCCCCATCCCGTTTGTCCCATGCACCCGATCCCTCCGTGACCTCCAGGGACCGCCGTCCATAGCGCTGGGTGAAATTGGTTCGACATCAGCCACTCCACTGGCTGGCTTCCTCCTTGCCACGGTCCCGGTTGTTGCAACTGCGATGGCGGCATACCGTAGCCCAGTGGAACTCCTCCTTGACCTGCCAGCCCGGTTGGCGCAGCTGGAATGGTCCCCCCCAGGGGGCCAAATTGACCGTCTCCTCCTGCGTGTGATACTTCCATCGGATTGGCACCTCCTCGTTGAGGTGAGAACAATGGATTGCTCCTTGTTGTGGCCGAAAAGTTTTCCGACTCCCTAGGGTTGCGGGGTAAGTGGCCTTGGTCTTAGGGGACCTCGATACCCTTGTCCCTGCCCACCTCCGCTTGAGGTTGTCGCCTGCCAGTTCTGCTCCTGCCGACCTGCGGAGGCCAAAGCGTTTGTTCCCTGGTTACGAGGTCTTCCTCTCCTCCTGCAATCCTGCTCCTGGTGGAAGAACTGTTTACACTCATTACATTTCATGGTATCCGAAGTCGCCAATCGTATCTCCAACACGTCTCCCTTTGCGGTCTCCACCCATATTACGTCCTTCATGTTGGCGCGAGAGTCGGGGTCCAGCTCGAATCGAGCGTTGACCAGCGCTGGTCTTGAGGGGTCCGCATCCGTCGGATGCGCGAGGATGATTTTCCCGATTGCCTTCTCGATCTGCGCATATATGAATGGCATATCGTCCAAAGGAACTTGAGTCGCGATCACCCAGAAGGTATTAGCCCAGGTCATCCATGGTTTGAATAGGATCTTGTACGTAGAGGAGTCTCCCATTGGCACCTCCACTTGTCCCTCCGAGATCATGAACTCCGCAATCTCCCTTGCTTTCGCCACATAGGATGCTACCCCTGGGCCCTCTATCTTGATTCGTCCTCTTCGCGAGTTCTCCGAAAAGTCCTCATTCCCCAACACCCACCCATCTTCGAACGCTCGGACAAGGTCGTCCTTCACGTTTTTTGGTAGGGACCTGGCAGCATCCTTATAAATAACGGTTACTGTACGCTCCTTTAGCCATTTGACTTTTATGTCGTCCAAGGAGGTTTTCAACTTGAACCTCACTTCTTGCCCCTCTACGACCATCTCTCCCGGGTCAATTTTGGTTGGATACACACCATCATCAAAACATATCGCCAATAGGCTCCTTATCCTATCTTCATTCTCCCAATAGTTGCGTTCTTCATGCGGCGCCGGGGGGGGGGGATCTCCCCGTTCCCTCTTGGCCGGGAGTTGCCTCCGTCGTAACCCTAACACCTACTTTCACTTCTCTCCCTCTACCTCTATCCTCCAGGATACTTCAATCTCCACAGCAGAGACTTGCCCAATCCACTCAAGACTTCTTCGGAAGGGGACTTTGCCTCTGCCTATCCCACCTTCACCTATGACTAGCAGATCGCCATATCCACCCTACATGGAGGGCGTATGGTGGACTCCAGGGCGATATCACGGCGGTATCGTCCGGGATGGCAGCACGGCGGTATCGTCCGGGATGGCAGCTCGGGTTTTGCCAAACCCGGTAACGATTTGGCAGAGCGCGTCGCGCCGGCCGAAGCGAAGGTCCGGTCCCCTCCGACAGCATGACTATTTTTTTTCCTTTTTGCCGAGTTCTTGGGCGAAAGCCTACAGAACAGCACGGGCATGGTCCCACTAGCAAAGAGAGTCGGATCGAATGCCCGAATCTGGACGTGTTTGTCCAGAGGTGCAGGAAATCGAAATTGAACTGCTTTTCTGCATCTCTGCGTAAAGCACGATCACATCCAGGCATTCTATCCAATCCTCTTTGCTAATGGGACCTCGGCCCAGCTGGGGCCTGGCCCTGCTACACAGTTCGAGTCGTTCCGGGTTGTTTGTGAGGATTCCCGGCCTCAAAGTTGGTCTTTAATGGAATTCCTTGCTTTTTCCCACAAAAAAAAAAAAAAAAAAAAAAGAAAACAAAGTGCTCTAAGGTGGGGGATGGAACGATGATTTTTTTTTTTTTTTTTTTTTTTTTTTTTTTTTGAACTCAACTCAGGCTTCGCTCTTGAACTCAAGTGGTGTGCAAGGAGGCCCTTACTAGCTTATTGTTCCTTATCCAGGCCAGGAGCATGGTCCCACTAGCAACCCGGATTGGATTAAGATCCTGGATCTGGGCGTGTTTTAGGAAGAGATGCATAAACGGAGTTCAATCTCGAGTTTTTGCACTTGTCCACAAACGCGTCCAGATTCAGGCGTTCAGTCCAATCCTTTTTGGTAGTGGGACCTCACCCAGGCCGCCATGCATTGCCCACGTTTCCATGAACCACTTCAACCCTGCGTTTCTAGGCCTGATGAATTTCGCAAACTGAGCTCGAACTTCTCAAAAAAAAAAAAAAAAAAAAAAAAAAAAAAAAAAGGAACTGCGCTCGAACACCTCCCTAAATAGGGGCACTTCTTTTTTTTGTGTTTCTTTTTTTTGTGTTTTTGGGTAGGGGCACTTCCGCCAGCTGGAATGGGAACAAAAAGCCAGCTGGAATGGGAACAAAAGCGAAGTCTGAGACTGAGCCAATGGATTGTGATTGGGGGTCGGTCCACTACACAACACACTACATGCATTTGGACGCTTTCTGGACCAGGTGCATTCCGACGACTTCAACATTCTCAATGTATCGAGTCCAGAAAGCATCTAAATGCATGTAGAGTGATGTGTAGTGGAGCGAGCCCCCATCGTCAGCCGTAAAGATGCATGATCTTGACGGCTGGCAAATCACTTGGCTCTCACATTTCTTATCACACATAACTCATATCGGCTTGCTACCGGGACCCCCTTGTCGATGCACTTCTCGCATGGGGTCTGAGGATCGACGGCCAGTACAATCTCTCTCTCTGTCTCGTGATCGATGCGGACGGGATATCGACCAGACGGGACCTCGACCGGACGAGACCTCGACCGAGCAAAGACAAACATGGCTCGGTAGGCACGCCGTTTGCACGCCGTAATCGGGGACCTACAAGGGTCGGGATCCCTGCGGGCCTGCTAATTGGACAAAGCTGGACATAGCTGGAGCTTGGCGATGGAGTGACTGATGGCCGCGACACATCACTCTCGAAATGTGAAAAAGACAAAATTGTAAGGGGTGCATCTGGCCATGTTCTAGCAGGAAGTTCATTCTCGTTCTGCACATTTCGAGAGTTGTGTGGCGATGCCCTGTGGCTGCGATTGGAG